TTGTCATACCAGACATGAGCACTTGCAAGTTGATATATTAAGTTATTATTACTGTTTGTAACATAAATGATGGCAATAATTCCCGGCTACCGCGAGAGCAATTGGCCCCCGGCGAGAGATGCAATCAGCGACTCACCATATTGGGAAGTACTTTGCTGATCGCGCCGCGGTTTACTTGGTACTGCACTTGGAGAACCTTCACCACAACGAATTCGCCCAAAGCGGCGAACACGAACACCATGCAACCGGCCATCCATAGGTCAAGTGCCTGTAATCAATTGTAATTTAGAAATAATCAATAGATGATGTAATTACAGGCGCAGTAAATCTTTTCTAAGTGCATCTAGTTAATTACAAAGTTGTGGATTAGCAAAACGAAAGCTATTGTTAATAATGTTCAGAAAGCAGATTAGAAAGATTTTGTTAGTCAAGAGTCAAGTCTGACTGACTGTCAATTGTCTGACTGAGATACAGTATGTATGAATTATACCAAATAAATAAATTAAAAAAAAAAAAGTCATTTGTTTGATTGCTGTAGATAACCAATGTATTGGCAAAATGCATACATACACACCAAACATACACAAACACACGCACACACACACACACATATATATATATATATATATATATATATATATATATGTATTTATAAATATTTGTATTACTAATATTTTTATTTATGTAATTTCTGATGCGACGAATGATTAAATGGATTCATTCATTGAAATATTTTTATGAATATTTTATTAATGTTAATATATATTTAATTAGTATATACTATATACTATAGTATATACTATATAATAATATATATTTAATTAATATGTATATTTATATCTATGTATTTTTATATTAAATAAATATATATTATATATATTATATATATATATATAATATTTTATATATATTAGGGTGGTTCGAATTTCTTTGCTCCCATATATATTAGGACATTTTCGAATTTCTTTGCTCCCAAGGGCGCAAATTCTTCCAAATGAATAAAACAATGAATCTCTATTAGTATTAGCTCTTAATATTTGAGTTTCAGCATCAGCAATTAAATAAATATTTTGCAGCAAAATTAATCTTGATTCCATGATGAATAGAATTTAAGTGGTTTATGAATATTCTTATGTGTCATAATATTTGAGTTCACGAAATATTAAATAATAATAATTGTTATTTCTGATGGATCGAATCGTTAAATTATTTGTTCAATAAAATCAATTATCAAATCTGGATATTTTTGAAAATATTTTAATTAATTTATTATATTATATTAATTATTATATTAATATAATTAATTATTAACAATTAATTATAATATATATTATGTATTGTTTATTTGATATTATTCATTAGGTTAGGTAAATATGTTCATTCAAGAATATTTTGATTAATTCATGAAATAAATTAATTGTTATTTTAATTTTAATAAATTCGCAAAATTATTCATTGCGCCGGAAATATTAACAATCATTTATTTTTTGTCATTTTGTTGAAAGACTGTGATACCATAAATAGGGTTAAATGTATTAAATTATTAACAAAGACAAAAATCAGTTGAATTATGATTAAAGGTTATCGAACCCTGATATTAAAAATGTTTGTCTATATTAACAGAAAGTGAAAAGAGTTATTTATATGATTCCGAAAATCATTATTCGAAACTCATTAAGCATTTCACACACATTCGATAATGTGTGCAATTAAATAGTAATTAAGACCAACTATTATTGATGATGTTAGGTAAATCGACATATTTATTTGGTGTTTGACATATATAATCACATGATTCATTAGCTTTTTACAAAGAATAGTAAATAGAATAGAATCTACGATCACTGCATGTTAGTATTTTGCATATTATAGCAGTATTAAGAGAAACACAGCCGCGAAGCTGGATAAAATTATTTGGTTTCAAAGTTCAAATATCATTTATTAGTTTACTAGTTAGCTTTAAATAGTTATGCATTTATTTAAATGGCATAAACTAGCCATTAATAAAGAATATCAGTACCATATAATATACTACAAATAACTGTTCACACATGTATAAAATTAAGAATATAAAATCATTCCCCTTTTTTTTAAATAAACTGATAATTACTTCTATTGTGTACAATCATTCCAACATTCAAAAAATAAAGTGAAATTCAAAACATATATATTTCTAATTTTACTCACTTTAACATATGCAACTGGAGGTATATCGGCTCTCAACCCTGTAAACATAGTAACCAATGTCAACATGCAGGTTACTAGTAAAGTGACACGTCCAGGAATAGCGTCCAGACCCAACCAGAAGCTGAACCAACTTAACATTACCACAAGAGATGATGGTGCAAATGTCTGAATTAAATGATGGCCTATTTGTCGTTCGAAACGAAAGTATACAGCTAGACGAGAGAAATTTCCTAGAATGAAAATTATTTAGGTCTTTTTTTGATGAAGTTTTTTGATGAAGAGGTTTATTTTTATTTATTTTTTAAATAGTTCACTCGCTTAATAATATATAGTAATTGCTTAGTTAATTATGAGCACGTGTATCAATTGCTCAATATCGATCCGAAGATTTCTGATCAAAACTTTATGAAAAATAAGTGTAATTTTCATAATTTAATATTTTAATAACTTTCATTACTCATTGTAAAATATAATAATAAATAGTTATTTTACTTACCATGTTTTTCACTCATGTAAGCATTAGACTCTTCCAACTGCAAAGGTCTGCCAAATTGTACTGTAAAAGTTTTAGTTCTGGATTTACTGTAACACCAGACCTACTCCAACGCAAACGCACTTTCTGATTGGATAAGAAACTGAAAAAGGAATCATACGAATTTAATAATAATGAAATAAATAAAAGAGGCTAATTACGAAATTAGAGGAAGTCCTTTCTCTATTATGATCTATAAAGGCGGTTTTTTTCAATTCATGTAACGAGACTTTCACATTTGAAAATGCGCCAATATAATAGTGATAAAGAGTAACAAAAGCATAAGGAAGCAAAATCTAATCTCAATCAGAAGGTAATATAAATGGTTAGAAGTGTAATAGGTAATATAGCAAAAATAAAATAAATTGTCACATATTTATTAAATTATTGTTAGTAATTTCTTTGTTAATGGTAATCAGCATATAATTTTTTTTTTATAAGATTTAAGACATATTTTAATAATTTTAAAACATGTACATATTAAACGGAGAATTCTAATTCTGAATTACACATGACTTGAGATGAGAAATCCAATCCAAAGATTACCAATTTTTATATGCAAATAAAAGATATAAATAATCTTAAAAATATTAGTTTTAAGTAATTGCATCTGAAAAAATAAGTTTTAAACAAATCTCTATGGATTTTAATTTTATACACGAATGTCGTCTGTCTCTGTTTTTTAACAGTGAAGCTGATTTTGTTTTGTCTCTGAATTATGAGAAAATGATATGAAAAGATTAAATATAAAAATACTTAATTTTGACTTTGAAATAATCATTTTGCCAAAGGAAATTTATTGATAGATTTTTGATAAAAATGAGAAAACGGGACGATGAAAGCAGTGGATATTCTAATACAAAATGCTTTTTTATTTTATTGCAAATTAAGAATATATTTGAGCAAAATTAACTTTGAATAATTTTGATTAAATTTGATAATAAAGTATTTTATTTTATTTTAAATATTTAATGAAGTCATTATTACAGGGCGTCCATTAATCACGTGAGCGAGTTTTTAAAAATTCTTGGACTCCTCCTCCCCCTTTGTGATACATGGTGATATTCAACATTACCCCCCCTCCCCACCAAACATCACGTGTATTTTTAGTTATGCAGTTAACTGTGAAAATTTTGATTTTTTTCGAAAACGTTTGAACTGTTTTTTTAAAAAAATCTGTAAAAATAAATACACGTGATATCTTACTATACCCCTCCCACCCCTAAGTGATATTTCGTGATTTTTTGTCAAACCTCCCCCTCCCCCTAAAAACCTCACGTGATTAATGGACGACTCCTTAATGGAGTGATTGTATTACAGAAAACTATGGGATTATAAGCGAATAATATGTAAAATATAATAACCTAGATCTAACTCCAAAATAACTATTTTTTAATTTCAAATTTATTGATATTTAATGAAATGTGATGTGCTTATTGAATATAATTAGTGTTTTTCTATTGGTATTTATGTGGGTGCTCCATTGTGCAATGGTTGAGATCACGGACTCGTGTGAACGGGGTCGTGAGTTCCAACCCTACTTTGGACAACCTGACATCCTGCAGTACCAATGTTCATACTATTTTCATACTATTTCCCTTATATAAATCCTATTCTTCTTTCTATTTTATATTCTATCATATTCTATGTACTCTTCAACGTAACTTCATTCTTCTTTTTTCTTTTTTACTATTTATCGTTGTATCTTCTATCTTATTACGTCTTCATTACTTCTATTCTTACTTCCATTCAATTTAATTTTTATTCTCAAATCTTCTATACACGATTGAACTATTTTTAATACTATTTCAAACTATTTTTAACATTATTTCAAACTATTTTTTATATTATTTCAAACTATTTTCAATTTTATTTCAAATTATTTTTAATAGTATTTCATGCCCATTATACTTGAAAATATAGGTCAAAAATATATTTACAATTGAAATAGCCCATTTCGGTCACTACGTCAAATGATAATAAGAAACCTCCTACAATATACATCCCATAATCGAGCTGGACTTAAAGTCAGCTCATGGACCTGCCCTAGGGCATTACTACTTTTATTGGTATTTATAAGCTAACTCTAATTTTAATATGAATTGTGATTTTTATTTTTGGTAAATTTTGATAAATGTTGAAGAGTGTACTATACTAGTTCATATATTACTTTAGCATTCGCCGGTGCAAGGATGCAATCAGTGTCCTACCATAAATTACAGTTGACAAATTAATCGCAACTACAATAGGCAATACTTTAAAGGCATCGCGTGCGTTTTCTGCGGATTAGAAACTAGTATATCTAAATGCATTAAATTTGCATAAAAAGCCAAAGCTATCTAATTGGTAATTAAGGATCTACTTTAGTAGACATTAAATTCAGCATAATAAATTTAGTCGGTGTGACTTACAGCTTTCTATATATATGGGGCAATCTTGAATATCCATGGGGTATAGCTGGAACTCCATCTGGCACGCTATTATAGCATGCATGCGAGCTGCATATCGCACGGTTTTGTTCCGGTAAAGAGTCACTGAAGAGAATTATGCTCCAGAGCGGCAATTTCTAAAATGAAAAACAAGAAAAGCGATTAAACTCATTTATGCTTTGATAATAAAAATTATAGTTAGTCAGATAACGATTATTCATAGGCAATAACTTAGAGATATAAACTTATGAAAAACTTCAATTATGAGATAGAGATTGGAGAAAGTACTGTGAATTAATATATTATATATCTTTGATAAAACAGCTACATCATTGTAATATTGTCATTATATTCTTATTTTATTATCGTTTTCTTAAAAAATCAAGTCTTTATTGAATGTTCAATTCATTTCGTGGTAACGGTATTTGTAAATTAGTAGGCATATTTCATTTTCTCTTTTAGTTTTTACTTAAAGCTTTTAGAGAAAACTGTATAAATATAAATTCTATATCATATATCAGTTTATCTATTGCACGCGAGCAGTCTAAACTAAAACAGAAATAAAGAAACGCATCTTCAAAAAGTAATAATTTCACTCTAAAAATATAGAAACATAAAAACTTCTAGTTCTTGAGCCACAAGGGTCTGTGATATACATATAAGACTATATATATATATATATATATATATAATATATACTAGGGTGGTCTTTGATACGGACATTTGCGAAATTCCTTGCTCCCAAGGGCTCGAATGGTTCCAAATTGATAAAAAACAATTCTCTGAAAGTTTTAGCTCTTTATATTGTCTATTAATCAGAGCGCAATTCAATCAAAGTTATGTATCGAAATAGCATGAAAAAATTTTCAAAAATTTAGCAGAGCGTCGAATTTTCAATAAAAATTGACACGAATTTTCACTTTTAATTCATTTGTCGCTAAGTTATACCTAAAAAAATTTCAAAAATTTTTCCATGCTATTTCCATACGAAGTTTGATTGAATTGCGCACTATCTAAAAGTTAATATTAAGAGCTGAAACTTTCAGAGAAATGTTTTTTATCAATTTAGAACCATTTAATCCCTTGGGAACAAGGAAATTCGAGAATGTCCATACAATATAAACATCATGAAAATAAATTTTACAGTGAACATATTTTTCTAAAATGAACATGAAAGATATTAAATGATTAAAATGTTGTGTGTTTAGAAAAATCTATCGAAATGTTGGAAAATTAATATCTTTCATCAGAATATTGAAAAAAAAATCGAATAGGCATCACACATTGCATACATATATTATGTTTTATTCCTGCAAACTCGCATGGGTGTCATACGAATTTTTCATTTACAATTTGCTAAATCATGCGACTACAACTACATAATTTTATTATTTAACTTTTAGTTTAATATATTATTTTATCTAATAATTTGAGTTTTTCAATAAACTATATTTTTGAATAATATTTTTTTAATTTGTTATATTTTTTGTAATTTGAAATTTATATAAATTTGTAAAAGTAATTTTAGTAATTTATTGCATTTCAAAATGCATTTGTTGCATTTATGCATTTATTGCATTTCGAAATCATTTCAATTATTTGGCTGCAATAAAAGATTTCAAGAATATGTTTCAATGTCGAACAAAAAAAGTGATTTTATATATATATATATATATATATATATATAATTATAGATTAAAAATATCTATTAGGCATCTATCCTGTGATTAATAAAAAAAATCATAATATAATTGCAACTGAAGTAAAACTATCATATAAGAATATTTTGTTTCGAATGACCAGTGTTGAAACATGTGAACTCATAACATTCAATATTCAATCAATAATTAGAAACTTTAATTGACAAGAATTAGTTCAACTGTGCATTTCTGAGTAAGATAAAAATTAATTGGTTTAACTTTAGATCGAATTACCACTGAAGATGACATAATATCATATTTGATGCATTGGCTGTTAAATAAATTATATACAGATTACAGGCATAATATATATTCGGATTTTACATTGCTTCAAAATGTTAAGTAAAATCCCTATGAAAAGAAAAAATACGTTGGATTTGTTTGTCTCCTGGCTGTTCCTTTTCTCACGCCACCATTGGACAAAAAGGGTCAGATGACAAATTTTAGAAAAAACGTAAAAACAAACATGTTTTGTATAATTAATTAGCAAGAGTTAACTGTGTATTTTACTGAACATAGTTGGATAGTTGTTTGTTTTATATGTGTTATGTGTTCTATTTGAAAGTCCGATTAGACCTTAGTGCCCCTACCCCGCTTTACCATATATATATATATATGTACATATATAAATTATTGTTGCAGAATAATGAAAAACAGATTTTTACAAAATATGCAAATTACTTATATACATACTTCAATTATAGAATCGTTATATCATCAATACTGGCAAGTGAGTGAATTTCATGTTAATAAATTATCCTGATCGAGTAATTTATATTAATCTCCGATAGTATTAAATCCCAGTAACTCACCTGCCACTTTGGAATTGAGGAAGTAAGGATCCGGATGCCATAAGTTATCGAAGAATTCCGGAGGAAGTGTTACATAATCATCTCCTTCTTCAAATATATCATCCGGAATGGAAAGGCGAGATTCAAGCCAATTTTGCCTCACAAACATATCCACGCTGCAATGAAAAGCGAAAATTAATTATCATCAGCCAAAGCTATTAAAGACCTGTTAATAGTGTAAATTTAAATTTCAAAATGATTTAGAGTCGAAATTAGTTATTTATAATATTAATTATAAATTTAATAGCTAATTCACTACTGGAATGCTGACTAAGTTTATGAGTTTAATGATTAATAAGAGTCATTTGTTTCGTGACTCGTGTTAGCAATATGAATAAGAAGTCTATGTAAGAAAAGGAGCTATTGGATATTTTATTTTACATAGAAATATAATAGGTAAAAAGGTCACAATTACACCGAAATACTTATGTATATAAAAGGGGCCAACCAAAAATAAAATATCTGTTGAGTCTAAATAATAAACTAGTGGGGCGCATGGCTTCTCGTACAAAAAAAAATTTTTTTTTTAAAAAGATTAATATTTTTGAAAAAAAAAAATGATTTTTGACAAACTATAAATTTTTGACAAAAATTTATTTTTTTTTGAAAAAAAAAAACTTTTTTAAGAAAAATTTATTTTGAAACCTTTTGGAAATTCTGAACTTTTTTCAAAGCAATCGTACTGATTTATCTACAAAGAGATAAAATATCGAAGCGCGTAAGCGCCGCGTCGCCGTCTGACGGATAAACATTGGTACGGAACCCATAGGAATGTAAACAAAATTTATACTTATTGTTAAAATCTCTATAAAATATCTGATAATTTGATGCCCATATGTCTTATCATTTTTGATCGCCAAATGGCATTTTTTTTTCCTTTTTTTACTAGATCTTCAAAACCGCTAGACCTGCTCTCATAAAAATTTGAAAATTTGAAAATTTGAAATTTTTTTTTTTAATTATTCAAATCGGACGCTCCGTTCTCTTAAAAACTGAGTTACCGTTTTTAGCACTTTTTGCGCCATATCTTCGGAACGGCTAGACCTTCCTTTGCCAAAAACTAATCAGCACGTCTCCTTATCAATACGAATCGAATGTTTTTTGAATTATTCAAATCGCTTCATCCGTGTTCCCGAAATCGTCGACGAAAATTTGTATCCGCACACACACATACACGCACACATATACACACATCCATTTTTTCTAAGGTATGCCAAAATGTTCAGAAGGTTTTGAAACGTAAAGATATATAAAAATTTTCATTTTCGATGTTTTTGCGATTACTATAACTTGCTCTACGGGAAGGTAATAAAAGTCAAAATTTCTAAGTCAAAAGTTTTCATATTAGTGACAAAACCTAATTTTGTATTTTATGACTAGCAAATATTTTCATATTAGTAAAAAAACCTATTTTTGTATTTTATGATTGGCAATCATAAAAGTATACGCTTCAGCATAAAAAGCATCAAGAGTATTCGTTTATATATAGCGCTAAATAAATATTAATTAAATCTAAGGTCTAAAACAAATCAAAACTCGAAGTTGTCGGTAAAATATCTATATATCATAAACAAACTGACGCCAGACATTTTTGAGTATCACATATTTGCGATGTATAAACTGTACAAATAAATTATTTACACTTCGTCCAGCGGAAGCGCTATTGCGAATTAGTATTTCATATATGCATATGTTAATGTTAAAATTGCGAATACAAATACAGGCCACGGTTGTTTAGAAATACTCTGCATGCGTTCTGAATGTATTAATCTAAAATTCATATGCATCATTACATTGATGGTCGATCTAGTTGTTTGAGTCAAGGTTAGCGAAAGCAAAATAGGGTAAAATATTAAGGGTTAAGCATAATTTAAAACTAGTTGAAAGTGGCATTGTTCCTTAAGGCAACTGGCGTTGTTCCTTAAGGCAAGTTGCCTAAAAGTCGTGTAAAACTGACAAACGCCAGTATTTATTATCATGTAACATCGAATGGCTTTTACAATGTTGAAATCGGTCCATCCGTTTTTGAGAAAACGTCGACTAAAGGCCAAAACGTCGGTTTGCATACACACTAGGGTGTCCTTAATTTGGACATTTTCGAATTTCTTTACTCCCAAGGGCTCAAATGGTTCCAAGTTAATAAAAACAATTCTCTGAAAGTTTTAGCTCTTAATATTGTCTTTTAGATAGAGCGCAATTCAATCAAAGTTTTGTATGAAACAGAATGAAAAAATTTCAAAAATTTTGCAGATCGTCGAATTTTCAATAAAAATGACACGAATTTTCACTTTTAATTCATTTGTCGCTAAGTTATACCCAAAAAAATTTTTTTTTATTTTTCTAAATATTTTCCATGCTATTTCTATACAATGTTTGATTGAATTGCGCACCATCTAAAAGTTAATATTAAGAGCTAAAACTTTCAGAGAATTGTTTTTTGTCAATTTGGAACCATTTGGGCCCTTGGGGCCATTTGGGCCCAAGAAAATGCGAAAATGACCATATTAAGGGCCACCATTTGGAACCATTTGGGCCCAAGAAAATGCGAAAATGACCATATTAAGGGCCACCCTAATACACACACATACCTAGTTTTTCCAAATTTGGTATAATTCGACTCAGAATGGCTTGAAACGCCGAAAAGACATAAAACTAGCAAATCGTATTTTTTGGCGAAAAGATAAACTCCTCCGTCGAGGTATTAATAAATAAGCAAAGAAAAATTTGAGTTCAAGTTGAACCTAATCAAATAAAGCATATAATAATATATGTAATATCACAAAAATAAAACTTTACTCTTTGATCCTCCTGTTAAGGTAATTAATGAATTCTAGCAAATTAAAAGAATACAAACATTTTGAATTTACGTTTTCATTATGTTACAAAATAATTGACCACTTTCAACAATGTTCTTTGGCTTTGCAAAATAAGACAGAAATAGGACGAAGTTTCAACCAATCCTCAGTACTTTTGCATAAGTAGAATTATAATATGAATAGACTATTTATTATTTTGACCTTGTTGATTCCATGTTACAAATATTTATTTATAAACATACTTTCTTATTGTTAGTATTAATAAGTCGTCCTGTAAAAAAGTCTTAACTAAAAGGCAAATATATTTAAAATAGAAGAAAAAAGAACATTGAACCAAAATGCTTGCGGCTTATGTTTTCACGAACCTAAAGTCAAAATTGGGAACCAAATGGCGAAAAATTGAAAATAAATAAAAAAGACAAAATCTCAGATTTAGTTATTCCTTCTGAATGATAATAAGAGTCCTTTGATTTTTGTCGTTTCCTGGGTCTTTTTATCTTAAATGACTAATGATTTACTTAAATGATCTATCAAGTTTTTTTGTAGAATACAGCAGTAATTTCCAAACATATTTTTAAATATTCTATTTCCAATCTTTTTGCAAATTACTCAGGGGCAATAGGGTGTAAATATTTTATACCTTGACATAATATGAAATTATTTTTCCCAAACCCTGGTCTTCAGATCCGATCCTTTCGAGCAAAAAATATTAGACATTGTATTTATGTAAAATGTACTATGAACTGAGCATTCGCATGTTCGCTTAGTAATGCAATCGTTTCAATTGTAAGTAATTGTTTAAGTGTGCCTTGTAATTATACTCAATGACTTCTAATTTATATAATAGTTCGAAAGGCGGTTTTTATTTGAATGTCACTTCTCTTTAATAATGTAATAGTGACATAACAAATGGAATGAAATATTTGATATTTTGAAGGAATAAAAAGTTTGGAAAGTTTTGGATTGATGCAGTCGTAAAAAATAAGCTTTATAAAGATCAGTTGCAGCATCTGCTGATAAAATTAAATGACCAATTTTTTTTATTAATATAAAATTATAAAAAACATTTTTGGTAAAATTAAATATGAAATTTTTTTAAATTCAAATTTCAAGCTCTATATATTACATAGTGTTAAACTTTTCGTCCACATTTAAGCTTATCCTACCGAACCGATTTCAAAAACTGTTCGAAAGGTATTAGTTGGGAATGGTACTGATTAATTTTAGGTGAAAATCTACCGAGCCGTTTTCTTGTAATTAACTGTTGAAAAAAGTGTTAAACTTTTCGTCCACATTTAAGCTCATCCTACCGAACCGATTTTAAAAAATCAAAAACTGTTCGAAAGATATTAGTTGGGAATGATACTGATTAGTTTTAGGTGAAAATCTAGCGAGCCGTTTTCTTGTAATTAACTGTTGAAAAAAAGTGTTAAACTTTTCGTCCACATTTAAGCTCATCCTACCGAACCGATTTTAAAAAATCAAAAAATGTTCGAAAGATATTAGTTAAGAATGGCATTGATTAATTTTAGGTGAAAATCTACCGAGCCGTTTTCTTGTAATTAACTTGTTAAAAAAAGTATTAAACTTTTCGTCTACATTTAAGCTCATCCTACCGAACCGATTTTAAAAAATGAAAAACTGTTCGAAAGATATTAGTTGGGAATGATACTGATTAGTTTTAGGTGAAAATCTACCGTGCCGTTTTCTTGTAATTAACTGTTGAAAAAAAATTAAGCCGATTTTTATGAAACTTTTTTTTGGCGATTCATGGTCTTATAGAACTTACTGTAATATTACGGCCTTACGACAAGTAGTTTAATTTTAAAAATTCGTCAAACTTTGCTAAAATTATTATCGTTTTTTTAAAGTAGGATTGATTAAGTCGATTATTTACACATATCGGGAAGTTCATGTAACTTGCCTCAAGGCTAAATACCAAACCAACTAGTTATTTTTTAACCACTTCTAAAGTGATATAGATTATAGATAGCACGTTTGGAAGGTTATTGATCTGGTGACATTCGATAAGTAATTTTAGAACGATATTTGTTACTAAAAACTAATATTACTTGATTGCTCTTCTGGACAGATAAAATTTTAAAATCCAGCATCATCTTCAATTTGGTTCCCTGTCTTGTTCAAGAAATTTCTTTTCAGAATCAAGACAGAGTCAATTCTGCTACCGGAAACCGATCTAAATTTGCGGATATCCTTCGACGAATGTCGACATGCACGTTGCCGAAAGATCCTAAATGAGCTGTTACAGTTAATTGCATCGTGTGTTGTCAGTTGTCAGA